GGGGAAGAGTTTGTTTCAGGAATTCTAGTTCACTGTACAGTAGGCCTGTGACAACTGTACACAATTATCTAGGTGTTCAACTTGTTTCTGCTGAGGAATCAGAAAATCCTCAGATTGTTTGGAAATAAGACACCATGTTCATACTGTATCTTCTTTATAAGAAGACAACTCAGTGCACCTTTACTTGTGTTACTTTATTTGACAGCAGCTTGTTTCAAACGGCTGAGCATCCTGAGCGGTCTGGACCAGAACAAATACATAATACAACTGATACTCTGGAGAAGAAGAAGAAAAAAAAAACTGTCCGATAGGATTCAGCAGGGAAATAGAAGCTAGAGGTTTCTCTTTTTTTGTGGCTGTGCAGCTTGACCATCAGCACGCAATTACATTAGCTTATAAGTGGCCAGAGTGCAAAGTGACTAGGTCCTAAAAGTCTGAAGAGTTACGACTCTCCTGCACATACCAAGACATTATCGCATCATTTTGGTAACTGCAGCTTATTTTTGTGGATGCTTTTGCACTTCTTACTTTGCCAGAGCATATTTGTGATGAGGAACAGTTCACAAGTTCTGATACAGTTGTCTCAATGTGCTTGTGCAAGTAGTTCTATTTTTACCAATAAAACTATTTTGTGAAAGCGGCGTGCCTACTGTTGTGTCCTATGTGTGTGGCTGATAAGGATGGAGATAACATTCATCTTCCTGCCAAATCTCCAGACTGTTGGATGGTACAGGCTGTTCTGAGTGTAGGCAGGCAGGCTGTTCATTCACAGCACCCAAGAATGCAGCAGGACGGGTCCAAGCAACAGCCACATCCATTAAATATTATGTGCAAATGGATTTTGGCATCTTCCAGTCATTCCTTACTCAGGTGACAGCATTAGGAAATAAGTGCAATAATAACAGCACCCCTGGGTGCATTTAAAGGAATGTGACTTAATGATTGCAGTAGTTGATGATGATATGCAATTAGATGGGCATAAAAAAATGGTTGGATGCAGTTTGCCTTGTTTAGTTTCATCTCCATGAAATAGTTTGTTGACCAGAGCACACAAATAATTACCTACAACTAATTAAATCGATTTGATCAACAGAGAAACAATGTGCTATTTTGAAAATCAATTAATTATTCAAGACATTTTCTGAAGCAAAACTCCCAAACATTCACTGATGCTACTGAACTGTAAGGATTTGCAGCTTCTGCAGTGATTGATCGAATCCGTTTTATTATGTAAAGCACTTTTGAATTTGTGTATGAAAGGTGCTCTATAAATAAACCGACCTTGACTTTTTATTCATTTTATAATAAATTAAATATGTCTGGGATTTGGACTCTTGGCTGGAGAAAGCTAATTTATTGCATCACTTTGGGCTTAGAACATTTTAATGGGCATCTTTCCCCCCCCTATTTTCTGAATGATTAATCAAGGAAATAATCAGATTAATCAATAATGAAAACAATCATTAGTTGCAGCCTGACTGACAACTGTCATTTCTCAAATGTAAAAATGTTCCACTAAGTACATTTCTTAGTCTCAATCAAAATTGTTTAACACTATTTTTATAAAAGAGAAAAAAAAAAGAAAAAGTATATCAGCTGATGTATCAGAGGTTTTAAACTATCAAGTGTTATCAGTCTTTGCCTTAAAATCAGTCGGGCTCTAATCTGTAAAATTAAATACATAACCAGAAATTATCTATAAGAAAGACAATTCATTTCAAATTAGCTCCGCCTGACTCAATTTTGCAACAAACATCCCGATACTATGATTTATTCAGCTGCTTCCACATAAACAAGAGGAATGCCAACATGTAGAGAGCAAAGCTTAACCACAGCGTCTGCTCTGAATAATCAAAGTGTACACAGCCCTTTGCATGATGATGTCTTCAGCCATAAGCGGCGCTTGTTTCAGATCAGAACACTGTATAGCCTGTTGTTCCACTTTACCATCTGCGACATACTGTAGCCTATACTGTTCAGACAAAGCACTTATTAAACAGTTACTTTCCAAGAAAATCTGAGCTCAGCTGCACCTGACTGGAGCCTTGTTGACACCAACTGAGTGAGGCTGTGCTTTCCTGAAACAAACACGGATTATTCGAGGCTTTCTCCCACTCCTCTTGGTTATGCACCAAGAGTGCAGATCAAATAACTTCCTCTCATGGGGAAACACTAATAAGATCTGCTCTTCTGTGTATTTAACCCACATTTTCCATCAAAACCTTTCACTCCAAGATAACAAGACAAAGCGAGGTTTGACCTAGTTTACTAAGTGCATCCTGACTTAATGCGTTTCACATTAAAGCAAAGCCAGGTTGAGGAGGTGCCGCTAGGTCAAGCCAGGTCTAAGTAATTCTGCTGACAGAACAAATAAGGCAACGGGAGTAATCAAGCCTGGCTGTGAGCCTGGTCTGGAGCAGGCTAGCTGCAAAGAATAAATCTTCTTGGTAACTTGACTGGGTTTAATTTAACCTGCTTTCATGCCACTGAGTCAGGGCTTAATTCAGATGGAATAACTGGAAAATGCCGGCTTAATCCCTTATCTTGGTTTTGTTGCTCACCCACCAGGACATGGTAAGGACCTGTAATGTCACGGCTCACCAAAACACCATTAACACCACATTACTCAGAATGCGAGTACCCAAACTGCTCTAGTATGTCACCATTCTTAATAGGCGGTTAGGTCCATACTAGAGATATAACGCTGTCATTAACACTGGGGGAGAATGATCTTCCTGTGCATTACCTGCTCTCCGCTGGTCCTAGTGCTCATGTGAGGCTGGGGAATAATAACAACGACCTTGGCTCCGCAGTAAACTGCTGAGGAAGGCAGTAAAAGCTATGGAGATGACAAAAGGGGGCGCTTGTAGAAAAACAATACACTGACAGTTTAAGGGAGGACATTTAACATTTCAGCTTCGAGAGTGGGGTGGGTTGTGCAGTTAGGAAGATTCACTATGCCGAAGGTGAGAGGAGGCTAAGTGACTGGAGGGTGTGGGCCCATTCATTTTTTTACAATCTATATCTCTCCTGACGGAAATGATCACTGCAGAGATTATTGTCGACAAACGTGTTAATGAAAGCACAGAAAGACAATAAGAAAAGGCAGAGGCATACTCGCATAAATCCAATTGTCAGAGTTTTTGCTGAAACAATCGTGGGAGCTATGAATTTTTATTTATTTTTTTTTAAACACTGAGCTGGTGCCTTACAAAGCCTAATCAAAACACCCACTAAATCTGACTCCTCCTACACCTTCAGTCCCTTCAAAAAGGCTGGCAGAAGTCATGCAACCACAGTGCATGAAGCTCAAATTAGAGCATTTAATAACTCTTTAAGTTAACAGCTTATAGATGATGCCTCCCATTGTAGCAAGGCTTGCTTTTTACAGACTTCAGTGTGTCATAGCACCACTAGCAACATACACATTTGAAGCTGACCTGCTTTCCTTGGGTAGATTACCAAGCTTTCAGCATTATCCTTTAAAATACTAAACTCTGAGCCCCGAATGAACAAACCTGACACAGTTTCTTATTAGCAGGAGTAACATCTCTAGAGATGTTGATAAGCTAACTCTGCCAACCTCAGCATTTTGTTTAAGGAGACAGGAGGAGGAGAGTATTTTTGTTTCTCTTTACCTTGGGTCTGTGATGTATTGAGAGTGAGACCGAGCCATCAGGGATTTACTATGCTGGCATGAGTCACTGAAATAACTTTCCTTAATCGTCTCAATAGCATGTTTGACCCCATTTATGAGATGGGAATAGGGCTAGATGAATTGCCTGTAGAATGTGTGGCAGGAGGTGAGAAAGCAGTGCAGCCACGATGAGGAGATTCTCACCTTTACAGTTCAGGTGAGAGCTGGTGCCGCTTCAGGACACTATATCTATCACAAAGACTGGGTCAGCTCCTACACTGAAACACCTTGTGAATTCAATAGATACAATTATTCTGATACCTGAAAAGACCAGCTGACATCTTGTCCCCCTGACAACTGCTGCCCATAGTGTTGATGTTCAATACAGCATTACCAAATTTAATTCAGGCTCTGCTCATCTGGCCTGTGCTCTTGGTTGACAACTGTGTACAAGGCAAACATCTGTAGGGCTCTCCTCCTGTGAGGCCCAGTCAGCTGGTGGGTGCTGGCTGATGCAGCCATTTGTCAGAGCGGGCTGATGACTGGCCCAGACAACCATCTGCTGGAGGTACGCCTCGCTCTCCTTTCACATTGATCTTGGTCATCAATCTTCTGCTGCTCTGCACTCAGGGGGAAGGCTTTGTTTTCTAGCTTTTGTTTGATTCAGTACATCACATTCAGTTTCATTTTTTACCACTTCTTGTTTTGTTCTTTTATCTCACTGTGATTTTAGTCAGTTTCCAATGTTCTCTTTCTATCCATGCTTCATATTTATTGTCATACCCCACCTAGTTATAACTCCATTTCTCCTCTTTCCCGTCTTCAAGCTCATTTTCTCTAAATGTTTTTTTCCACTTATGTTATTTAGTATTTCCATCGCCCATTACGCCTACTCAGTGCCTCACCTTTTCCATTTTTGCTCTAGCAGCTGTGGTCTACAGAAGAGACTGCAGGTTGCTCTGGATGGAGCATCTACTGCCTCACTATTAGGCCTGTGACAAACAGAGGTTCATTTTAATCAACTGTCCAGATGCAGAATGTAATTTATTCTTTGCAAATCAGCTATTTTTCATGTAAAGCAGCAGTGAAGACAAATCTGAATGACTGGATGTTTGTGTGAAAGATGCAGGTGCCTTGATGGCAGTGTGCACTCTAAAGCTCCTTGACCCCTGATCAGAATATAAATTAGAGATGCGTATAATGACTAAAGCAACAGCTGAAAAGCCTTTTCTGTGTTCAGTTTACTTCCTTCAAGAGCTCTTTCAGATATATGTAGAATGATGAAAGACAGAAGCAATTTAAGCATCACTCAATCTGTCCTTCTATTTGAGAATTAACAGGAGGAGAGTGACTAATAAGGAAAGGGAGGCAGGTGTGATCTGCAGCAGGACAAACCTAGGGCACTCTGAGCCTGAGGGAAACACATCAAAGCAGCCAATCGCCATTCTCAGAAGCCTGAGAGCTGCAGCGAGGGGCAAGAACACGACAGGCAGATTAAATGGCAAGGATGGGTGTCTATCTGCTCGCCCGCACATCAATATGTGCGACAAGCAGCTGCTAATGTAAAACAAATTTAACATTTCCCTTCTCATTATCCTGTACTGGCTACCTCCTATAGGTTCAAGGTAAACAACCAATCAACCTGCACTTAAATTTCACTCCCACCTTTTACTGATGTGATTTTTTCCTCATGGTTATTTGGAAAGGTTCAGTAATTTCGCTGCTTTTTCTGATTCACTGTTTGTTTGATTACACTGTAGTAGACCACTTCTGATACTTTTCACTCTCCACTAATTGCCACGTGTTTTATAGCACCTGCTGTTGCGTATTTATCCACTGTAGTTTAGTAGATGCCACTGGTGTGGGGTGTGGGGGCACCGGCCAACAAGTGAAATGTTTAAAATGACCCAAATACGTTTTCAATATATGACCGAGTTGACAGGATAAAGGACAGAAATGACTAACCAAGGCCAAAAACAAAGAGCCCTAGAGGCAGGGATGACAAAAACATACAGAGATCAGACAAACAAAGCCCAGTTGTGCTTCAGGTTCAATAAATCTCTCTTCATTAACACCAGTGGTGGGCCGTCAGGGCCAGCGAGGCCTTCTCTGCTGGCCTAAACACTATTAGAAGCACTGATCTACATTTACAACCGAAATTCTAATATTTGTTCCATGAAATTGTATTAATTTATTCCCAACAGTCTGTTCTCTTCATTTCGTAGTATTTCTCTTGGCTGCACCGCTTCCAGTACGTGTATGTGGATGTTAGATTTTTTGTCCAATCAGATTTCAGCCTCTGTGTGTTGCCATGTCAATCTAATCTGCCCAGGGCCTTCAGAATCAGAAGTGCTGGCCCATGTAACTTAAACTATATTAGCAATGGGACTGTTTCTTTAACCAATCAGATTTCAAATTCGCCTCACAGGGCCAGCTAGCTGGCCCACAATGACGTCAAGATTTTCCGTCCTCTGATTGTTTGGTCAGAGCAAAAGTAGAAAAGGGCTTACGATGGAACTGAAATGTAGAGATCACAGATGCGGTTGTAGTGTAGAGGTTTGGAGTTGTCTTAACTGGGTTTCTTGCTTTAGTAAAAACGGTATTCACCCTCAATACGTGAAATACCTCTCTCTCTGTAACGCCACACTTTATTATATTGCGTTTTTGTATAGCATTGATGGTTTCTATAATTGCGACGTACAGTGGTGGTATTAAGAGGCGAATTAAGTCGGGTAAATCTCCACTGAAGGCCCAGGTACCAAATGCACGGCCCACCACTGGTTAACACAATCAGTGTATTCCTATGGTTCAGAAAGAACAGAATAACACCAACATTTAAACCTGTGAGGCAACTTCTTGGCTATAGATACAAGTCACAGTCTCACACACACATACTGCAGGATGAGAGTGAGTGAGTGAGAGAGAGAGAGACACCTTGCATCTGGAAGTGTTACTCTCCCATTCTAGTTAACTTCTGCTAAAAATGGATATTCAGCCTTTATCATTTTTATTAGTGGATTCTGCTTTTTTCAATAGAGAACTGTAAGTGGTGCACAAGATGAACACCAAAGACAAAATCCAAACTTATGCTATGACAATATTTTTCTGTTTTCTAGACAAACCACTGGTTCAGCTACGAGTCTATATTCATGTGTGTCACAAACTCAGTCCCCCCCCCCTCCACTCAGCCTGTTGATGATGTCCAGTAAATCAAGCACGCCATTTTTATTGTCCATGCAATTCTGTGCAATTTCTCTGATGTGCTCCAGTAAACAATGCTTCACCAGCAAGCTTTTATGACATACTGGTAGAAAGGGGCAGCACAGAGCAGAGAGCATGGCAGCATTAACATGCTGCTTGTGCTCTCTTAGCTTTAATAAGACACAGCCACAGGAGGCCTGCTCATCAAACAGCCATCATCTCTCCTAACAATATCAGTTTGGCCAAGCGTCTATTAAAACATCTAATGGTGATAGATGGCCTGTGTGGGCCCGTGTGGGCACGTGGGAGGCACCGATTCATCTGCAATGCATGTACAAGGTTGTAGCATCAGTGTAGTCTCTTCACAGCAAATGCACACAAACATACGTGCACATGTTGAGAGCACAGATAAATATGCTGAAATCCATTAAGGCACAGCTTGATATATACACAAAAATAAGACACTTAAAAGTAATTTTAAAAAAACAGAGCAACAGCAGAGTGTGATAAAATATTCACTGGGAGCCATCTCTTCTAAGAGAATGAACAATCAGCACTGGTCCCACTTACTCTGCTGCATTTCACGTAACACAGGAGATTAAACATTTCCCAACAGTAGGTCTCCTACAAAGAAACAACAGCTTCAAGGGACCAGCAGTGCATCTCTGACATCCACCTAACACCCACCCTTTCACTGAGGAAAAGAAAGACATGGTTTCATTAGTACAACGATGTAAGAGACCTCCTGAGTCTTTAAAGAGGCTTGTGTCTAATCTCCAAGTACATCTCAGCAGAGCCGTCTATTAGGCAACACATATTTCAAATTTTGCTGCAGTATTTTTTACTCATTTAATGGACTTTCTAGTCCTACTATAAATCCTTACCCAGAAATGCTTTAAAACCCTTGCTTTCTCATGTTATGCAAGAAGGAACGCCTTTCTTTTGCCACTGATACACACATGGGATAAAAGACTCAAAGAGAGAAACTGAAAGGAACTAGGAGTAGTGTGATCGTGCCACATCTCAAATACCCACCAGGCATCATTACAACCTAGAAAACGTCCAAAGCCAGAACAAAGACAACAGATTCAATGAGTCTTAATGAAGCCTTAAAGCAATAACAGTGAGGGAGGGATGAGTGGCGGGGAAATGATGGGGGACTCTGACAGGAGCGTGGGACCAGACAAGCAGCAGAGATTAAGAGATGTGAGGATGTCCCAGTCCTCACAGGTTATTTTAGGGTAAGAACTGTGAAAGAGTAATGTGTCTCAGTACTGAAGATTGAAATCAGCATTAAACTTTAACACTGCATTACATGTGTGTTCTGAAAATTGAGTTCTATTTCACTGCATATGCATAGATTCTTATGTTGAGACAAAAGGAAAGGGAAGAAGTGTAACATATAAACAGCAATAACATCTCCTGCCAATGCACTGCAAAGGTTATCACAAAGGTCAACACAAACAGTACACACTGTTTAATTTGTCTGCTAATGTAGCAAGGTCAGATTTAGAAGAATTAAACTAAATATTATCAGCTCAAACCCTACCTTGGGTTTGGGCACGAAGGCCTGTCCAGGGATGGTGAAGCAGCTGCGGACAGTACAGAGATACTGAGACATGATGGACAGGCGACTCCTCTGTTTGCTGCCTGTACTGGCTGTCAGTCTCTGGATGGAGAGGACAAACCAGTTACATAAAGACAAAAAGATGAGCATTTAACTGTGTCCTTACTATGTTTTATGTTATAAAAAAAGAGCATCATTAAATCCTGCTATGAACGATTTTTTATTATAAAATCAATATTTATATATTCAGTTTTCACACCTTATATCTTTAGGCAAATACACAGAGATGTGACAGCAGTGTTCACCCACCTCTACCACCTCTTTCTGAAAAGTAAGTGTGAGTCGGGTGCGTCCATAGACGAAGGGCCCTGTTCTGTTGGCTATGTTCTCCAGCCACTTGATGATGAGGGGGGTTGAGACGTTAAATGGGAGATTCCCTATAATGTGGAGGTTTGGTGGATCTGTAGAGACACATTCACACACATTGTAGTCATGCACTCTATTTACTTCATTCTGAGCACAGTGACAGCTTATGTAATAAAAAATTCTCACCTTCCTCCCACGGCTTAGAAATATTCAGTGGGAACCCTCGGTCCATCCTGTAGGTGAGTATGTCACCGTGGACAATTCTTAACTTCCCAGGTGCTGCTTCAGACAGCAGCTGTGGAAACAGATATTATACAACATTAAATACAATGAATGAAAAGGTGGTCAGAAAACAAAATGTGGGGTCATCATTCACTATGCAACATGTTAGAGCTTTTTCTGTTGAATGACCTAATGACCTTGATAGCATTTAGCCAACCTCAGTACGACAGCTCAGTTTACCTTTAGCCCAGGAATGAAGCGTGTATCCTTCTCCACCACCAGCAGGTCTGCTGCACCGGCATTGAGGACTGAGCGGGTGAGGCCTCCGGGACCAGGACCCACCTCACACACATAGGCATCCCTCAAACTCCCTGCCTGACGCACTATTTTGTCTGAAAAGATGCAGATGGATTACCAAATGAATTCTAGCCATCTATATCACTAACAAACTGTGACTCATATACTGACTTACAGCAACTCATGTATCATATGAATTACACCATACTCTTCAATCAGGTGCATAAATGAGATTAATAGTGTGTGATGGTGCAATATCCATCTCTGTGTGATGAAAAATGAGATGCATTAATCTAACATTCACCTTGTCCAAGGACAAGAAAGCAGATCAGACCTGCACTGAATCCCTGATAATTATATTAAGGCCCACACTCTACATGGGCTGCAAACAACTGACTCGGTCCATTCACATTAGCAGCAGATCTACTCAACCTCCCCCATACAGAAAAGCCTGTCAGATTCAATGCCGTGAAACAAGGCAATGTAGGTGGTGTGCAATCAAGTGCACACCATTGTGTGGATGTAGACACAGTAACAAAGAACAGCAGCTAGCAGGTACTGCAGACAGAAAGAAAGAAAGATGCAGGTGGACTAACCCGTGAGTCTCAAGTCCAGCAGAAAGTTCTGGGATAGCTGTTTCTCAGCTTGAAGGTTGTACAGCTTTATCAGCTCACCTAGAGTAGGCAAGGGAGGCAGACGGAAAGATGCCAGTTTCCCTGATGCTGCCATCATTCAGGTGAACACTGTGAAAAACCAGCACATACACACAACATGTGTGTAAAGCTGCCTTTGAGGACACTCACACAAAAAAATAATGCATTCATCAGTCCTTTACCCTAACGTTTACAACTACGTAAATGCTTAACCACAATCCCAACCCTGGAGGCTGTCAGGAATAAACATGTCATAAGGACAACAACAATCTGTCAGTATTAGTATCTAAAATGGTTTTGTATATCATTATAAATAAGGACTAAACCTTTGAACTGCATACACTGAATGACAATGCAGATGTGGTTATAAAGTTTGTCATTTTACAGTTGTGATTTCACACAGTTGCTGAGTGGCCTTTATTTTAACTTTTACATTCCAACGTGTTTCCCCATAAACACCCTACAAAGCACACAATATGTGGTACAGAATGGTCTTAATATAGATGCATGTCATCAATTCCAATTACTTCTTATAACGTCTGGGATTGATAAGCAATGTCTAGACGTACAAGTGGTGAAGTTAGTATTGAAGAGCGGACTGTGTGTCGTATAATACGATCTCGTCCACCATCTAGTGGTGATAGAATATTAATTGACCAGCTTTAAGATAAAACGCACAACTATTTTTTAACAGATTTTGAATACACATCCATACGTGAAACTCATACATTTTAACTGCTGGTATCAATCTGATTAACAGTCATGAAATGAATTTGGATTTGTACACTATAAAGTTACATTAGTAAAATTAGCTGCAAAAGCAGCAACGCTGTACCAACGTCACGGTGGAAATGCTTCTGACAAACAATCCCGTTCTTCCTCACTGAACTATTCACTTTAAGCTCTTGCTAACATTTGCACTAAGCTGAGACTGAAACGATTGGTAACATATGTAGCTAACGTTAGCTTTGAGTCCACATACCTTTAGCAGAGCCCGTTGTAAAACGTTCTAAATTTAGCCGAAACAATTCACATTACTTCGAAAAAGAGAGATAAGATTAAGAACAAACTACAAACAACGCTGAAAATACACAAGAATCAACCCACGTTTCTCACTGGGTGCATTATTCTCCTTTACACTTCCTTATTCGTCATACAAATGACGTCTGGGCAAGCCAATGGGCCAACGACGTGTTTACCTTGACCAATCAAATTGAAGTAAAAGGGGGTGGGGGTTTGCTTTGCCCTTGAAAAGCCGTGATATGTTGATGTAATGACGTGTGACAGTCGGGAGATGGCGACATTTTATGATGCTATATCATTTATTTACAGTAAAATTGCAAAAGACTTTTCATTGATGTATTTACTCCTAAATTCTACAATCATACTGTTATTCTTTACTTTCATGATTGTTCTCTTAATGTAACCTTATGAATTACTGTGAAAAATTTGAGGTGAGGAGAGGTTCTGCTGATTCTGCTAGGTTGTATAGCCTACTAAACTACCCTAATGACACCTACAGTGCAGTAAACCCAAAACCTGTCTCTCACCATTAGCCTATATACATTTTGAAGTAATTGAGATCTTTCAGTTTAAACTGATGAGGAGCCTGCATGCCTGCAGTCCATCTCAGGGTAGAAATTCACCGTGTTTTGCCATGCTGGATGCACAGTTGTTTGGAATTAACCCCATAGCCCTGTGGCCCCATGCAGAGGCACAACTGGTGGAGCTCAATATAGAAATACCCTTCCCCTCCATGGTTTGTCACATGAGTGGCAGCTCTGTCTCATGCTGTGGCTGACCTTGGGAAAACACTTCAAATGGAGGGAGGGAAAAATAAAAATACTGGTGGTGGTAGACAAGAGTCTGTAATGGAGATGCTCCTGCAAAATGTGCAAAATATATAATGTCCAAAAAACAATGTGTGAATCCTTAAATACATTAAAAATAAAATGGGTTACATAAACAGTTAGACTATCAGAATAGTTGTCAGAATGCTATGTGCTAAAAACAGATAGAGAAGGAATCATTCACCTGTGAGTGTCCAGTAACCAAGTTCATATACTGAAAGACGCACAATGAAACAAAACTATTGTGCTACATCAGAGAATTATTAATCGATCATGATCAACATTTCTTTGCCAATAAGAAGAAAGAGTTAAAAAAAATCCCACTTTTTTTAAGCAAAATCAGTCAAGATTAAGACATAATGCAAGATGTTAAAAGTGAAGATTTAAATAACTTTTTCACATGAGCTTTTTTTTATTTTATTTTATGGAAAACTAGTAAGTGGCCCTTAAAACAAGAATTTGTGATCAAACTGTGTTAAACGGTTACAAAAACACAAAAAATATTACCATAACATCCAACTGCTATTTGCCACCATGACTATAATCATGAGATGGAACTAAGTCACGTATAACATGTTTCCAAGGAATTGAATGATACTGTAAAAGGAATAGTTACATATAGAGGAGCCTGGCTGCATGAGGTTTATACCAAATGTCATTGCTAAAATAAACCATTTTAACATTTGAACACAAGATGGCATCAGAGAGTAACTCCCTCATGCATCTCTATAGTGTGTGGTCAGCAAAAACAGGAAATGAAACATAAGTAATTAACATTTCTGAGATGTTAAGTCATCACTATCATCAAAACCTCAGAAGAAAAGCAAAGACTGAAATACGTGAAAGCATATAATTTCCAAACAATTTTAGACTTTTAAAACAGACATACATCAATACACTCAG